CCGCCTTTAATCCATTTATTTGCTAAACATATATAATTAATGACATTAACACGATCCACTTAAGTTTGATATTCGCGAAAATAGAGCGTATACTAAATGCACTGAAACAGCAACAATTTAAACTTAAAATAATTTCCGAGATAAACGTGCATCTGAAAAAACACTGATTTTTTCGCATGGATTTATTTTTCCTTAAAAAGTGATGGATAATAAATACCCATTCGATCAAATGCTTGTGTTTATAAATGATACATGCGTGTATGCTTTGAATAGTGACTAATTTCAAAATGTTTCTATTATTTAATATTTGCTTTTGAGGACTTATCAGCTCCGGGGACTTAGCAAGCTTTTTTGTTTGAAATAAAACAAAACGGAGGTGCACAGATTTGAAAGAAAATGTGTTTTCATCAGTATTAAGACAGTTGGTTTATTTCACCGTAGATGGAGCAGCTTTTAAGTTAGAAAATAAGTTGTGCGAAATTATTGATATTTCTTCTTTGCATAATGTCATGATGCTCCGGGGTCTTCCCAAAATTAGACAATCCCACCCGTGCCTAAGGTTGCCAAACTTTTGGAGAGAAGTGTAACTTTTACTATTTTGATCTACTGGTCATATAAATTGAATATATGTTTCTGGTTATTGCAATGAATTTTTCCACAAATACTTTTGGGGGAAATTCCGACCGGGGCTTCGGCCGAACCCATTGAACCCCTGGTCCCTACGGCTATGTTAATAGGATAATCTTTTTGTATACTACCATGACTACAGCTACATAGCCTTGGATTAGTCCTATGCTGGGATAAACTAATCTTGGTGTTGAGAACCAGGCTGAGTTGAAAGATTTATCTGTTTTCCAAAGGATGTGTCTAGCAATATGTAGATATATTGATTCAAGAATTTTACAGTTTGGAAAGTGCTTTTTTTATTAGTCCATAGTAGGATGAGACTTTCTGGAGTAAGCATCATCAAAAATTGTGGACAAAATTCAAACATCTCTGAAATTGGATCAATTTAAGTTTTAGTAGGATTAGTTGAAATTGAAGGTTTATCAATATTTTCAAGAAAGGAAAAAACTCTTGAACTAACACAGTATGATGAATATATGTGTACATGTAAATAACTATATTAAGGAATTTTTCTGTGTAAATTCATCTCTCTGGTATTGCATTAATTAAGTCAAGTTGATTCACTTCAGAGACTAATATACAGGGTGATTTATTTTCTACATTTCACCAGTTATCCTACCAGGTTCAAAAATGGATGTACACGGTTATATTATTTATGACTTAGCATTATCTGTGAATCAATATATTTCAGAAAGCAGTTTCTTCTTGTAGTTGATTGCCAACTGGGCATTATATTATTCAATTGTTTATCAAGTATTATGCCATAAATTACTAATTGAAACAATGCTGTTTCTGTGCATAGTTCATTATCAACTGGGCATTATATTACTAATTTATTAATTAGTACCCCGGACAGGTTGTATGATGCAGTCGTGTTTTTACTCTTTATTCCCAATAGAACAACCATTCTTATTGAAATTTTCATATTTTATTCTGGAGACAATTTCCAACATGGAAAAAAATATTTTAACAAAATTCCTAATTTTATGATTTTGAGAGGCTTTTTTCAAAAACACCCCACTGTCAAAAGAATACAGGTTTTTGCTTGAACAATTAACGTCATTCGAAAGATTGTCTAGCTATTCAATTTTTGGCCACCTAAAGTCTTTCCAGATGTATTTGATGCCATATTAATTATGGCTGATTATTGTTTTTCATTTTTGTCATATTCAGTAGGCCTAATATTATTACAGTGCATTAGGCCATTGAAAAACTTGTCACTCTGGGTCACATTTCCTCTGATAACGCACCTTTTTCACCACTGGGGTTTTCCACAACCGTCACTCAGTAAGCAACCCTGTGGTACATAAATTGAACCATGCTTTGAAAATGTCAGGTTTCAAGATAATATCTAATTTGAAACAGCTGTATTAACATGTCTGAAGTATCTAATACCAGGAATACTTGAAGTTGGAGATTCGTAATGTTTTACTTCATTTTGGACAGTATTGAACAGTTCAATCGGGTTGAACTTTTGTCTGTGAACAAGTAGATTGACCTCCTCTATCTGGGCTTTATCGAGCGAAGGCTTCACAAAACGAAACCCAGAGCAACACGTTTTTTATTGGCCTAATGCACTGTAATAATATTGAATATGACTAAATTGAATAACAATAATCAGCAATAATTATTATGCCAAAATATATATCTGGAAAGACTTTAGGTGGCAGAAAATTCAATAGCCAGACAATATTTGAAATGACGTTAATAAATCAATTGTTCAAGCAAAAACCTGTAAATTATTGACAGTGTAGTTTTTTTGAAAAAATCCTGTCAAAATCATAAAATTGGAAATTTTGATAAAATATTTATTTTCCATGTTGGAAATTGTCTCTAGAATAAAACTTGAAAATGTCAATAAATATGGTTGTTCCATTGCAAATGCAGAGTAAAAACAAGACTGCATCATACAACCTGTCCGGGGTACTATATTAAAAAAAATAGGCCATGATAATTAACCAGACATGAATTTGTTCATGAGCCCTTTGATTGGCAGAAGTAGCAAGTGCAATAATCAGTGGTTCTCTAGATGGTCAAATAAAAATCAAACCGAAAATTCTGATTGAAAATAAATAATATGTTCTTTATTTTAAACAGGATATCTTGCTTCTATATCATAAGACATATCACAAGTAAGGCACAGTGCCATTACTCAAACAAACATAATTATTTTTTCATCCATTATCAATCCTAGTACATTACATGATGCTTTAATCTGTAAGACAACACATCACCCCATTCATAACAAAGTGGGCTGGAAACTCAATATCCCTCCATCATCCAAAAATATAACACAGATACATACACTTGTACATGAACACTTGTATATAAAATTTACTTTGCCTGTCAAAATTACCCGTTATATATGATCCAACCAGTGTACCACATTTTCTCGTATGATACCCCTTCATTATATCACCCTTAGGTGTTTTTTCAAAATTCCATTCTGTACCATTATAAACATACCAGGTTTTATGACTTACTCTAATTTAACATCCAGGGTGTCATTATGAGAAAAACTTAAAAATACTGGTCATAAAATATGAAAATATGATCTCAGCCAGTCAGCCTACCAGTAAATAAGTGAAGCATGGAATGCATTTTAATATGTTTGATTAGTGAGTGATACAACTTACAACTAATATCTAATATGGCACTTTTAAATAGTTGTCAAAATACTAAGACTAAACCTTCACTACAAAATACTAAGACTAAACCTTCACTACAAAATACTAAGACTAAACCTTCACTACAAAATACTAAGACTAAACCTTCACTACAAAATACTAAGACTAAACCTTAACTACAAAATACAAGGACTAAACCTTCACTACAAAATACTAAAACTAAACCTTCACTACAAAATACTAAGACTAAACCTTCACTACAAAATACTAAGACTAAACCTTCACTACAAAATACTAAGACTAAACCTTCACTACAAAATACTAAGACTAAACCTTCACTACAAAATACTAAGACTAAACCTTCACTACAAAATACTAAGACTAAACCTTCACTACAAAATACTAAGACTAAACCTTCACTACAAAATACTAAGACTAAACCTTCACTACAAAATACTAAGACTAAACCTTCACTACAAAATACTAAGACTAAACCTTCACTACAAAATACTAAGACTGAACCTTAACTACAAAATACTAAGACTAAACCTTCACTACAAAATACTAAGACTAAACCTTCACTACAAAATACTAAGACTAAACCTGGAAAACTGCAAATCAGTCAGTACTTTTAACAATTAACAGATTGACATTTAATGTAGAACTGTACTACATTATCTATCAGGGTACAGGTACAGTATAATGTCCTTCTGAACAAACTGTGCCAGGTTACATGCACCATGTCCCATGTAGCAATGACTAGAAAACTTGACTTACAATCAAGTACCATTTTCATAGATTGTGATTCATTTAAACATCATATTCTTATTATGTCTTTAATTTTTAAACATATGTATCAATACAAGACTTGAATTAAATATGGGAAAATACATCAGGAGTACATGTATGTTATCGGAGCATCAGTATCACACAGATTTCAATGTTTCACAAAACATTCAGCAACAGTGCCATATCAACTACAATTACCCCATGTAGCCAGGGGGTTCGGGGGGTCTAACCCCCCTGGCGAAAAATTCTTTCAAAATCATGCAGCCCTTTTCAAGTGATTTTGGCCATTTTAGGGGCAAAGTTGTAAAAAGAGAACCCCATGGAAATTTTTATATCGTGACCCCCCTGGTAAATCCTGGCTACAGGCCTGAATAATGTATAACAACATTTACAAGTGTACAATGTAGGTTAATATGGTGCAATTCAGTAGAATAGACTCAATGGTGCAGCAAATACTGTGAATATGGTACTACATTATATACTGGAACAACGAAGGTGTCCATGGTACTGTAATGCTGAAACAACACTGTCTGGGAATGTCTCAGCTTACACTACCAAGCCCGTAGCTAGGGGGGGGGGTTCAGGGTTCGAGCGACCCCCCCTGGCCAAAAATTCTTTCAAAATCATGCAATTTTTCACCATTTTGAGCACTTCTCAAGTGATTTTAGCCATATTTGGGCCAAAATTGTCGTAAACCTCTCAAGAAAATTTTTGAAAACTGAACCCTCCTTGGCAAATCCTGGCTAAGGGCCTGACTACCATATGATACTGAGTTTAACTTAATGTTTCATTTTTGTGATCAACTTCACCAGGAAACTTTATTGTATAAATGTAGTCCTTTATTGCAAACTACCAACACATACTCAAGTCCCATATTCCATTTGGCCAAAGCAAGTACACATGTACTGAAATGATGCTATTATGATTTTCTTCAGATTTAAATGAGCCCTCATATCATCACGTCACCAATTTAAATCCTCCATTATTTTGTATGTATTCCCTAAGGGAGTCCAGCACTGCTAGTGTCTCCTTGGTAGTGGTCTCATGTCTAGCACGTTCCAATAACATAGAAGCATTATCTGACCTCTGGAGAAAAACCAATGCCCTATAAAAGATATAAAAAGAATTCAATCAATAAATGGAGGATAATGTGATGTATAATAAACACAGAGCCAAGTTGGTTTCAACTGCTGTTTTAACATGTTTAGAAAAGTGCATAACTGATCAACTGATCCAAAATTCAATTTTGACTAGTAGGTCTTAAATCCTCACGACACATTCTGAACCAATTCTATGTATGAAGAGGAGTTACAGATAAACAGAAATTTCTCAGCAATGCTCTCTATATACATTTACCTACTTTTATCTGAGGTAGGCCATGGGGTGGAACCATAATGAAAACAAGGTATTAACATGCAAAATGTCACAACTGCCATTTGTTACAGACACCTAACAGCAACTGCCAAACACCAACATGCCAAACACCAACTGCTGCCACAAAAAATTGGAGACTATGACAATATGTTCAATTTCAACATTTGGACATTATGTCTCCCAAGATGCAAAGTCAACATTAGGCATGCACATTACCTGTATAGGGCATAGTGGTCACTCTCAGCTTTATGCACCAGTCTCTGTAAACTGTTAATGTCTTGGACAGCCTGGAAGTATACAATAAACAACAACAAGTACATTTCCTGTATGTTTCACATGAGTTTAATACATGTACGTTTCTTTTTGTTTTGTAGTTTAACTGGAATTCATAAGGTAGGGATAAACATGACAAATTAACTACAGTGAAATCTATAAAGTGGAACACCTCTAGAAATAGAACACCTCAGTTAGTGAACACTTTTCAGAATCCCAAGACCAACTAAGTTAATGATAAATGAACCACTATGAACCTATAGGTGGAACACTTTTTAAAGGTATCAAAGGTGTTCCAGTTAACAGGTTTTACTGTACATGTACTACTTCTATATGAAAACGTACACTGATACTATGTGGAGCTGTACAACAATCCTCAAGGGGCTTGTTTATTTACATTATTTGCAACCAACATGTGAAAATGAACTGACTAACTTGCACCTGTACATATCTGAAAATGGCATACCTTGAGTCTGTAGGTATCACAGACCTGGCGTACATAATGAGCATCTGTTGTGTCTCCACTAAGCAATGTACTAGCCCACTCCTCGCAGAATGGAGTACAATCTACAAATAGAGCACATGTACATACAAGTGGTACATATAAAGCAAAGATTATTACTCTATGCACTACTAGGCAAGTAGTCTTGTGTGCCCTCTTTGTCTTTCACCTTCACCTTGTGTTGTGAAGTATAAATACAGGGGGGGGTACACAGTATCGGGGCAAGACTTTATGGCAAGAATTCTTCCTAATGACTCAGATGCGAGTAGGTAGTTACCAGTTTCACCACTAGGTGGCTTGTTCGGGTCAGATAGCATGGCGGGTATAGGAGAAAGTTCCCTTTAACTTTATATTCATCTGTTTTAGCCGTTCAATTTTCATATCACCCTTATGTATTTAATAGTTTTGCGAATTAAAATATGTCGAGTTAAAGAAAATATTCCATTACAAGAAAAGATATTTAACTTTTTGTGACTTTAACACATGGGCTCTATGGAGAATCTCCCCGAACTAAAAATTACATTTTCTGTAACCATATTCCTAGAATATATAAGCACAAATGCCAAAGGGAAGGGTGACTAAAAACTTTAAAGAAACCCAACAAGAAAAGCAAACTGTATATTCCTAGAATATATAAGCACAAATGCCAAAGGGAAGGGTGACTAAAAACTTTAAAGAAACCCAACAAGAAAAGCAAACTGTAAGTGTAAATCTGTCATAAGAAAAGTAGACCCTATATATACCAAAACCATAATCTAACGTGAAAAGAAACAATGTCTAACATCCCCCTCCCCCCTCCAATCGAGAACCAATATCACAATCCAGGACCAGAACACCAAGGGACATTTCATTCATACTGAAGTCATTACAATATTGAACAATGTTGAAGAAAAATTGAAAAAATTGATAGCCAATACTCATAACATCAAAAATAGTTGTAGATACTAGTACTCATAAAAGATAGAGTATTCAGTCTCAAATGATGTACATGCAGATTTCAAATATGACATCACTTTGACTGAATTCTTTTAATTGATAAAAATTAAGCAAAAATTGAAAGAGAGGGTCAGTGTCAGAAAATATATTACAAGTGTGTGTTATCTTTATGAAAGCATGGAGGAGCATACCTTGTTTATTTGTTAATTTAAAATTGGCATCAATGTGGAGTGTGGAATCAGGTTTGGAATGTTTCACATCTGCTATGTCAACCAGGACAGTATCTGCTAAAGGATCATCTGTTATTTCATTTCCACCTCGAGGACTCTTCGTTAATTCTTCTGCTATGCTACATGTTTTGATAAACCTAAAATGCATTTGTGTCATCATTTTCTTAAAAAAGCAACATTTCTTATTTTAGAGAAATTACACTTTTATACTTATAAATGAGCAGCAAAGTTACAATATTATGTTTGAATTTAGCAAATTATGGTAAAGAACACATTAGTTCGGTTGATTGTAAAACATGCTTGAATCTTTCCACCACTCTATGGCAGACACTGTAATCTACACAAGAAATCATTACTGAGTACGATATACAGCAATTGAAAAACTGAAACGAATGTTGGATATCCAAATTTTTGATTCACTTATTTTACATTTTAAAAAACAAATTGTATTATAAGAGAACTGTCCACAGTATTGAACTAACAGGGGGATATTGATCCATTCTTGCCGGCAAAACAAAGCATTAACACATAAAATGTCAACACTTTCCATTTGTTACAGACACTGAATGCTGACTGATGGATGCCGAACACTGTCCACAAAAAGTTGTAGGCTATAACAAAATGTCACTACTTCTTGTGGTGAAATAACAATGAAAAACAGGTAAAATCAGAAGAAACTATAATTTAAACATGGAGATTATCAAACGATTTCTCAAAACGTGCAAAACCAACCACAAGAAAATTGCCTGTTGCCTTCTCCAAATGGAACCCCTGACGCTAAACAATAATTACCTGGTTATAATATCCTTTTCCTTTTCACTACAGCCGTAACTAATTGGACTACTTGATAATGCCTGAAAGACAAAAAGATTGTACATGTATGTACATTGTATTCCCATTGTATTTCATAAGGTCTTTTATCACATAGCAAAATCATTGTAATATTTGGGTTGTCATATGACTTTATGTCATGTAGCGACTCTTCGAAATGAGTTTTACTTATACATGTCAATAAAATGCCTGAAATGATCTAAAATTCTTTATTACTGACCTTACAATTGTAAAATTGATTGGTTTCTTGGCCCTCTTTGTAATGGTTTTCAATGGAAATTTGAATTCAAAAGTGCCCGAGGCCCTATTTGTGCAGAATATGGTAAATATGTATAGAATTTAACTTACAGCACTGAGTAGAAATTTTAGGTCATTAAATAGCCACTGTACAGGGTAGGACATAAACTGTATGGAAGCATCATACCAAGCATCTAGATAGGGGCCCACTCTGCTTGTCAGTTCTGTCATCTGCAACATTACCAGTGATGATGCATGAACACATTACACAGTGTATGTACAAAATTATATCAAACTTAAAATGAGTAAATTACTATTTTTAATGTAGCTTATTAATAGACAATTCTTTGAAATAACAGTTATGTTCTGTGAGTACAAGGGCTGGCTGATCATGATCTAAATACCATGATCGATCATGATCACTATAATCAAATGTCACCATTGTTCTTCATGATAAAATCTACATGCTATAATTGTGGGTTTTTTACCTTTGGTATTCTTCAATTCAACTTTCAATTACTAGACAGTAAAATAACCACAGCACACACTAACGCATGCGCTTTGTAAAACAAAACTCTTAATTTGCAATACATTCAGATTACATCAAAATGTACAAATCAATACAGGGCCTATTGCTGCCATCTTTTACTCAATTATGGGCATTAAAACTGAAATTGGGCATACTATGACAAGCAAATCATAATTTTCATACATGCATTAGTGTTAAGTGAGATACACAATCATAAAACCATGCATGAAGTCTAGCCATTCGTAGGTTTTAAATGAATATAATAACTTTCAAACCTGAACAAAAAATATAAATAAAAACATAGATACGCGTATATGAATCTAAAAAAACTAATGTTGACGAAGCAAGACTAGCAATACATTATTTCATATTAAAAAACAAACCTCCTGCAAAGGATTTGTTTCAACTCCCTGTAATATAAAACATAGTAACTCAGATGTTTGAATAGAATTGTAGGACAATAGAAAATAGAACAGGAAGCCCAGAATCGATCATCAAATTAAAATACATTAAAACATTTGTAAATGTAGAAAATAATAAAATTTAACTTTTGTTACCTTCTCATCTAGATGTCTGACAAGGCCATGGCTATACTGGTCAAGCTCAGTTTGGAATATAACACGAATTAAGGAAAAACATTTTTATAATAAACATTATGAAAAATAAAATCAAGTATTACATTTTTGGGTCACAGTGTGAAATATTACCATATTAAACAATGAGACATATATTTATAACTTAAAGTCACTGAGTTGTTTTGTGTTTTCTAATGTTGCCTTTTGTGATTTCTTATGACACAACAAGAATTCGGTTTACTTTAATCACATAAAGTTACATTTTTTGCATTCAAAACACCCTATAAGAGATACCCCCTGACTATCTATAAAGCAGTATAAAGGATACTGGTCGAGAGAATGCTGTCCCATAGTCATGTAACAAACCATCCATTCTAAGACGTCGCTGTCATCGGATGATGTCACATCCTTCTGAAGCATACAGTAGTAACAGCATGATGTCACTGTTGACTCATCTGGTCTAAAATACAATCATTGATATATAGTAGTAATAGCATGATGTCACTGTTGACTCATCTGGTCAAAAATACAATCATTGATATATAGTAGTAACAGCATGATGTCACTGTTGACTCATCTGGTCTAAAATACAATCATTGATATACAGTAGTAACAGCATGATATCACTGTTGACTCTTCTGGTCTGAAATACAATCATTAATAGAAAGTAGAATGGATAGGAAAGAGATAAAAAAAATCGTCACAATTTTACAATATTTTTGCTCATCATTCAATGTGATGCCTATTCCAACAAAAGTCTAACAGTTCTGACTCTCAAGATAATCCTTTGATCAATTCTATTCTAAAGATTTTTGACATTTCTGCACCTCATATTGTCAATAACTTCTATATTTGAACAGACATCTCATATTTTTACTTCAAAATATTGGCTTTTTAAAAATAATTTCTACTAATTCTGATAATATCCTTCTGGAGAGTAGCACAATCCCTTTTCAAGATGAGACAGCGTAAAATAAAGTGAGGAATTATTCTGAAGCTACTGATACTACTACAAACAATCTGGCAAGAGTCTGTGATTATTTCTAACATTAAAACTGTAGTAAAATATAATGAAATTAAAGATATAAAAATCAGATATGTGAGAATTACATTATGGGCATTCTAAGTCTATTAAATCCCCATAATTGTACAGATATACTGTGAACTATACGATACTTACCCAATATCCAGATTGGTGATGCTTCCAATGCCAGGATGTAGGTTACCCTTAGCAACACGCTTAGTGACATACTTTCTTAATTGGGTCTCTCCATCTGCAGTCAAGTTACTAGCAACCACAGATACGCTAATTGAATAAAAAATCATAGATTGTTGTAAGACAAAATTCATAATATAAATCAGGGTTTATTTAGTATATTCTAGATAGAGTCTGTACTCTAAATGAAATAGGGATCATCTATGTAGCCAATGATGAATGCCTACCTTTTCTCTTGTGTTATGTTATTGCTGGAATTTTCAGATCCCGATTCTGATTCACTTCCTTTCTCAGTTTTGTTTTCATCTGACTGACTGTTTCTGAAAATAATTGACTTAATTACATTAAAGGAATAATGAATTCAAACTTGAGATTGTTGTCTACTGGTGAACAAGTGGAATTCATCATATTTGTATATTACAGTATTGAGTCTTGGTTTCAGTCACGGATTTGAACAAAACAGTTATTCACTAAAACCATTCATTGTTGTTTTATAATGAACAGTAAATAAGAATTCTGATTGGTTGAAACTATAGCCACTATATAACATTCCCTTTCATTTTCTTTAATGTATTAGGTAATTCTGGATTAATAAGAAATATTATTATATCACTATCTCACAGGCTGGTATCGAAAGATTTGTCCGCTGTGACGGAGCATGCTATTTTTCGTAAAAACACTAAGAATGCTTCACACTTTATTTTTTAACTCATATGTTTCGTTACATCAAGGAAAATTACTTGCTCCATGCAATGGGTATTCATTTGTGGGTAACCTTCACTTCTGTTTGAAGTCCAATAACGCTAGGAGTAAAAGCTATTGAAAACGGCGCCAGAGTATCAAACTCTAAAATGTACCATTTCTTTTTAAACTTTTTAATGGCAATGATATAGTGACACGATAATATTGAAATATGTTTTCAGCATAACTCTAAATGTATTAATGAGATATTAACGCATTTCGTCTTTTTAATTTTTTTATAAAAAATAATACGAATATTTTTTGTCCGATGTGACGGAGCATTTTCACAGTTTACATTTGCAACTGCTCCGTCACAGCGGACAGAAAAATTAAACATTATTTTTTATAAAAGAATTAGAAAGACCAAATACATCAACATCTCATTTATACCTTCATAGTAATGCTGAAACCATGTGTAAATATTATCGTGTCGCTATATCGTGCCATTAGAAAGTTAAACAAGAAATGGTACATTTTGAAGTATGATACTTCGGCGCCATTTTCAATAGCTTTTCATCCCAGCGTAATTGGACTTCAAACAGAAGTGAAAGTTACCAGCAAATGATATATCCATTGCATGGAGTAAGTAATTTTCTTTGGTATAATGAAACATATCAGGGCCGTCAGATGGGGGGGTGCGATGGGTGCGACCGCACCCCCTTTGAAACCCCCCCAAAAAAATTTGAAAAAAAATAAATTTTTTTGAAAATATTTTTTTGAATCTTTTTTTTCATTGACTCATACACTTTGAAAATGCCCAGAAAGCACCAAATAGCATCTCAAAATTGTAAAATTTTCAGGGGGGGGGGGGGGGCGGGGCCACCTCTTACACCCCCCACAAAACAAAAGTTCTGAATTTATTTTATGTATAGTCTCACACTTTTAAAGTGCCCTGACATCATCAAATACTATAATCTAGTAGCTCCTTGAAATAGTCAATGATTCTTGGAGACCAACACTTACTCGCCCTCTGGCATCCCACCCCACCTCGCTCTCTGGCACCCCCCCCCCCCTTTAAACCCCTCAAATTGAAAAAATTGTGATTTTTTCATATTTTTTGTTGAGTCATATACTTTGAAAGCGCCTAGAAAGCACCAAATAGCATATTAAAATTGTAAAATTTTCTAGGAGGGTTGGTCACCACTCACATCCCCCACAAATCAATTGAAATAATTCTGAATTTTGTGTATTGTCTCAGACACTTTTAAAGTTCCCAGACATCATCAAATAGCTCCTTGAAATAGTCAATGATTTTTACTCGCCCTCTGGCATCCCCACCCAACATCCCCCTCTGGCACCCCCCCCCCCTGACAACCCTCAAAAATTGAGAAAGACAATTATTTTTTATTGACTCATACACTTTTAAAAGTACTCAGATGCACCAAATATCATTTTGAAATTTTAAAAATTTTCTTGGAGAGTTGGCCATCCCTCAAATCCCCCACAAAACAAGTGAAAAAATTCTGAATTTCACTTAATATTGTCTCAGACATTTTTAAAGTACCCAGACATCATCAAATAGCACCTTGATATGGTCAACGTTTCGATGGGACAACCACTTGGTCCCCCTCTGGCACCCCACACTTCACCCTCTCATCCTCTTTGACACCACCCCCAAAAGAATTCCCATTTTTTTATTGACTCATACACTTTGAAAGTGCCCAGATAGCACCAAATAGCATCTAAAAAGTGTAAAATTTTCTACGGGGAGTGGGCCACTCCTCACACCCCATACAAAACAATTGGACAGTTTGGACACTTAAACAGTCACCAAGTGACATAATGAAATCATAAAATTTTCTGGTACCCCACCCCAAAAACTAAAGCATTCATTTACTCAAACGCATTAAAAGTGCTCAGAATTAATCAGACAGCATCTTGAATTGGTAGAATTTTCCTGTGATGCCCACTCGCTCCCCTAAGAAGAAATTGATTGAAAATCTGAATTTCTTTAATTGATTCTATTGATTAAAACACCTTAAAGTGTCCAGAAATCACTGAATGTGATCTTGAACTGGTAAAAAGTTTCGGGTAAACATTTATGCCCTTCCAGCACACCTTCCCCCTATTTCAGTGTTTCTCCAAATTGCTCATTCAATATTTAGTCTAAAAACAATAAAATACTACAAAATAGGCTGAATGGCCCCAATATAGGGAGTAACCGCCCCCCCCTCTGACTTACGCGATTTGATTTACGCGGCAAAAAATTGACAATTTCATATTCTCTTTAGTAAAAACCGCACCCCCCTTGGAGAAAAGTGTCTTACGGGCCTGCATATAAGTTAAAAAATAAATCGTGAAGTATTCTTAGTGTTTTTATGAGAAATAGCATGCTCCATCACAGCGGACAAATATTTCGATACCAGCCTGTGTATCTAGCTAGCGACAGTATGATTGGTCAAAACCGGGTCACATGTCGTGGGATATCTGGCGATATTCAATGGCAATGCTAATCAGATAAGACAACCGTGAGATATCTAGCGATATCCCATGCTCCCGGGATATAATAAAACAAATATTTCTTTCACTGTAAAGGAATCATAGTCTATAATGACCCAGGGATGCCCACCCAAGGCTTCGTGGAATATCACTTGTGAAAGATGTACAGGTATTCACCTCAATAGAGTGAAATATTTGTTCAATATTCATTATTGGCTTCAAAATTAGAAGAGTCCCATGTTATTTCAGGAAATTATAAATTAATACATAGACTACATCTTTTAGTTTCACACAAAGAGTTCATAAATGTACATCAGTTATCAGATGATACTTTTCTATAATGTATGAAAATTTAGAAAATTCAATGACCAACTTTTTAAAAGAAAACAAATATAGGTCACTAATTCATTAATCCAAGTAACTAATAATTTTTTAGGTGCATTTATGCAAAACTAATTGATATTGATGAAGACCATGTTTAAATTGGTTTATATAAACCTGAAAAAATAGGACTCCAATTAAGAAGCTATCAATGTTTTCAAGGGTACAGAACTACCTTAAATATGTGAATTAGTTCTTTATAATTTTGTAAATACAATTTTTTAAATGAGGTAACACATTAGCAGAAAATAAGTAGATGGATGGGTAAGCACCTGATAGGACAAAGTTAAACACTGATTATTTACTGATTACATTACTGATAACATGTTCCTGGGCCTCCTATGTATTGTATTGTAAGGACCTTGGATAGCAAGTTGCTACTACTGCCCAGCTGTAATGGCTTAAGTTTATCCCGTTCCCGGACTATGGTCCTGTGAACATCTCAATCTTTTGCCTGTGCGATTACAACATGGGAGAATTTTTTACTGATCTTACACTTCAGACACCTACTTCAATAGATTCCTTGGTAATTAAGCATTCTTTTCGTGTAGTTGAATCCACAATTGTCTGGGTTTATCGGCAGAACGAAGACATTTTCGTTTTTGATCGCAATATTTGCGTGTAACATTTAACTTATTTCAACCGTCAAATTCCTCCATATTGGTACTTCCGGGCTACATCCGGGACAGCCAAACGGGGGATTCCCCTTTTAAATCCAACCGCCATTTTGAAAAGTGATGGAATCTCTCTCGATGAAAAAGAGAAAATGTTCCCGTTCTGCCGATATACCCAGACAATCGGCGGTTCCAATATATTAGAAGTTACATCTTGAGTTCTTTAATGCATTGAGGTAGGTATCTTAAGTGTAAGGGGCGTAGATAATTCTCCCAAGTTGTAATCGTACAGGCAAATGAATGCGATCAGTGCAGGACTATAGTCCGGGAACGGGATAAGCTTAAGCCTTTATAGCTCAGTTGAGTTGGTAGGGCATCAGTCTTTGGATCTAAGGGTCCTAGGTTCGATTCCTACACAGAGCATTGAATTTAGCAAACTCTTTCATTTCTGTATCTGGCTTGTTACACTATGTTTAATCTAGTCTTTCCCCTGGGGCGCCCTCATGTATTAATAGTATTAATTGTAATGTATTTTGTTTGCCGCCAGATTTTGGCCAGCAAAACCTCATTGTTACACTGTACAGTATACCATATTTTACATATTGTACACTTGAAGGCAGAGCAAGAAACCCCTTGGAGAGCCTTACTCAAGTCTCTAGCTTACATCTAGATGATGTGACTTCATTGATCTCGTATGTACTCTTGAAAAAGTGTCACACATACCTGCAACTCCTATCTCATAATTTTTATAAATATTTATTATATTGACTATTGAGCTTGTCCTGTTGATTGTCTGAATTTTGATATTTCAAATTTTTTTTTGAAAACTCAACAGATTCGTCATTTATACAGCTCATTCAGCAGAAAAATAGAGTTCATTTTGATATGAAAATCTTATATAACAATTGATTAAGACGGGACATGAGCTGATATTATGCATAAAGGTATGCTTTGTATCAATATGCTGTAACATCTGTGCATGTGTCACAATGATTTACAAATACTGAATACCACGTCTGCTGTTACATTCACTCAGAGCTGGAAATTATATAGAGATGGCTTTGGACCTAAGTAAGGAGAGGCCCTGTGTTCTTTTATATGAAATGTGACTACATTTATGTAACATGATTACTGAACACAGCTGGCTCAAAAGCCAGCTGACACACCGTTCAAGTAAAGATCATGTGACTATTCATATTTAGCTAACCCGAGTTATTTTGTAGCAAATCTTTACTTTCGAAAGTCAAGAGATCTCGCGAGACCTAAAATGGCTGAAGTCAAAATTCAAAAGTTTTGTTGTCTGATAGAACATTGATTTGCGTCAACAGACTGTTGAAGGATCAAAATAAGGTAACAACAAATAAATGATGTATTGATTCAAATATATAGTTTATTATAAGCGCTACTCAGCACAGCAGTTATTCAAAATGGGCTAGATTTTTTCACTTCAAGAATTTTCGAAACAAATGCGTGATATATACACATATTTTGTACCAAATGCATGACATAATCGGCAATCGCGTGCAAAGACCAAACGAAATGCGGTCGCTTTTTTCGCCGTTCGGCGTGAGGGTTGACAGGGCAGGGTAGACTAATATACCCACATGCATGCACACATACATGTACAAACCATGTCATGTAGTCATGGACAACTCAGTCAAAACATCATGTAGACCTATCCAGGGCTAAGCAATAGTGGTAACCTCAGGCCTGTCAACTGTCCCGCAATTTGCGTATTTGTCACGCATTTGCTGAAGAATTTGAAGTCACGCCAGTTTTTTTTGCGTGACAGAAAATGTCACGCAAAATACGCATTTTACCTGGCAATTGTCACGCAAAAATATTTCTGTAGAAATTTTTTCGAAATATGTTTACGACACGGTAAAAATACGAACGTCGGAAAAAACCGAACGCAATTTGTTCGGATTTGTCACGCGAATCCCGTATGTGTCACGCATGTTCATTGAAAATTTTTCGTCCCTACCCCCCCCCCCCCCCCCCCGTTGACGACATCGCGAGCGTAGCGAGCGCGAAAAATGTGAGGTGATCAAAGTTTGGCAAAGGTGCTCAAACTTTGGCCAAAGGTGTTTAAAAGTTGGCCAAAGGTGTTCAAAATTTGGACAAAAGTGTTCAGATTTGGACTTAGGTGTCCAACATTTTGAAGTCACTCATATTAGGTGGTCCCAAGTTGACAGCCCTGTAACCTTTGCTCTCTAAGCCATAGCAGGTGGAGTCCTGATATGATTATGTTTAAGGTCAGGGTGCATGATGGGAAATTTTCTGCATTCCTCAATTGAGTCACATGTTATTTTTCAAACAAGAATCACTCCTTCCCTTCACTGTCTATATCTTCCAGTTTTGCACAAAGAGTGCACGTATGTGCCTAGAAAAGACTTGTGAGAAGAATGTTTTGATAAAGTCTATAAAAAACAAGAAAATTCAGTGAAAAAAATCAGAAAAATTTCAGAAATTTTTTTCACTGAATTTTCTCATTTTTTATACATTTTACAAAACAAACCTTCCCACAAGGCTTTTCTAGGCACAGAAGTGCACTCTTTGTACAAACTTGGAAGATGTAGACAATGTGGGGAAGGAGTTATTCATGTTTGAAAAATAACATGTGACTCAATTGAGAAATGCAGAAAATTTCCCAACATGCACCCTGTCCTTAAATTCTGAGAAAAATAAGAGTCGGGGCAATCTGCGCGAGATTCGGTTTTTACTTGGTTCGGTTTTTCATTAAAGGAAGTATTTCATTCCCATGATTCAAAGTGCTTTTCTGCCATCGGTTCGGTTTAAGTTTGTACAACACACGTCTACAAATCTGGGGCAGGTTGATATTATGTCACTACATTTGTTTTGGGTGTATTCTTTTTGTTTTGACACAAAACAAAAATATTCCCACAATATATGGTGCATTATGGGTAAGGACTGCTGTGAAATAATGAATGTAAGTGACATCTATCTCAAATTATATGTTCTTACTAAGTTATTAATCGCGCATGCGTGATAATAATTTGAACCAATTAAATTGCTGGATTTAATGCGCATGCGCTAAAAACCGAACCTAAAAATGGAATCGGGACAATTCCACAGATAAATGCTGTAATGTAATCCAATGTGAAAATATTGAAATCTTTGGACTGATTATGAAAAAACGAGGATTTTCGGTACATAACCCCATATACCACGGGATAGCTCCATATGTCCCCTTTCAAATCAAAACAAAAATTGCATAGAACACCCATTGAGAAAAAAAGATATGACTGCTTTTTCCGCCATCTATCCGAATTTTAAACAATTTTCAATAGATTTCAAACTCAAGACCACCGTCACAAAAAGTCAAATATTTGAAGTGAACCGAATCATTTCGCCATACTTTTTGTAAAATTATATACACACGAGATAAACAAAATAAAATATAAAATCTGTACATTTTCACTGGTGATTGCACTGATAAATATTGATTTCAATCAACCATCATCCCAATTATAAATTTAGATTTTTTGTCTTCTACCTTTTCACTAGCGCCATCTGTGGAGTTATCCCTAATAGTGCCATGGTTCGATGATTTTTGGTGAAAAATGATATTTTTATGAAAGAATGAAGTGTTTCAAGATGGTTTGTGCAGTTTAAGAATAATCTATAGACAATTGGGCATTTTATGGGTACTAAACTAACCTTTGGGTGGTTCGAATTTAGGCCAAACTTTTTTCTTGAGAATTCAACATTTCTGCATTTAAATGGTTACATTAACTCGGATCTATAGAATTGAGCTTCCAAAGAGTCGAGCAAACTTATTTATATTGATCAAAGTGTTTTATTGGCAAAAATCACTGGACCATGACACATTAATTAGGCCAATTTTTGGGCAAAATAAGCCAAAAGCTGACTAAATTAGTCAGTTTTCATTGGTTTTCTATTGTTTAACTTCTTCTTAAATCAAAATTATAGATTAATTTTAGCTAATTAGATACCATTCGTGAAATTATTCCCAATTGTAGCCTTAAAAAAATCAAATTCAGCCATTTATTTCGTTCAAATATGTTGACATCTCTCGGAAAAATTAGGCTGAAAAATTCTGACATCTAAAAATGTTACAATACATCCTTTACCAAGCAAAATATGGCAAAAAATATTCAATATTTTATATGACAGTTTGCAGGCCTACAAACAATGACATTTCAGGCAACTTTCCGATGGTTAATGCCAAACAGTGCCTAATAATCGTCAATACCCGTAATTTTGAAGTCAAAAAAAGAAAAATGCTGATTCAGCATTATTTTTTAGTTTCTCCCGATCAGATCCTTATGGGCCATCGTCCAATAAACATTTCACGTCACATATCTCTTATTCTGAGTGGTTTTGAGCCAAATAATAGCAGTTTTAGTAATTTCTTATGTTGCTAATAGGGACAATTCCACAGATAAATGCTGTAATGTAATCCAATGTGAAAATATTGAAATCTTTGGACTGATTATGAAAAAACGAGGATTTTCGGTACATAACCCCATATACCACGGGATAGCTCCATATGTCCCCTTTCAAATCAAAACAAAAATTGCATAGAACACCCATTGAGAAAAAAAGATATGACTGCTTTTTCCGCCATCTATCCGAATTTTAAACAATTTTCAATAGATTTCAAACTCAAGACCACCGTCACAAAAAGTCAAATATTTGAAGTGAACCGAATCATTTCGCCATACTTTTTGTAAAATTATATACACACGAGATAAACAAAATAAAATATAAAATCTGTACATTTTCACTGGTGATTGCACTGATAAATATTGATTTCAATCAACCATCATCCCAATTATAAATTTAGATTTTTTGTCTTCTACCTTTTCACTAGCGCCATCTGTGGAGTTATCCCATCTCGCGCAGATTGCCCCTAGTGAAAAATAAATAAAAACAGGAAAATATTTTACTTCCGGTTTAATAATAGTGATTTTTCACCTAGACAGAAATGAAGTAGGACATTGCGTTAGTCTGCTAATATCGATATACTTACTTATTATTCAAAAGTGTATACAAAGCATAATATCGACCAGCTTGGGGTATTTTATTCGTTTTATCTGAAGATGTTGAAAAATCTGAATTTTCCTCCATTTTCAAGGGAGCATATACGTTTTGATTTCCAATAAAGAAAAATAAGTAAAGGTAAATGTTTGAAATATTGATGTACAAATTACATATAAAGCAATAAATTATAATTCAGACATATATTTTGCACTTGTTTACTCCATTATTTACAATGAATTATATAATAATACTTTAGCTCAAAGCTATCTGAAAATTAGAAACTACTTACTCATATGTTATCAATTATCGCCCGGTGGTAAGTTTTCATATTATTTTGTTATTCTTTTACTGCCTTTTTCTTGAGTAGTTATGCACTTTTCGTTTATATATATATCTTTACGCATATCACTAACGATCAGTCCTATAGAATGCAAGTAATGTGCATGGATTCTCCCTACTAAGAGCGTGTAAAGTTATTTGAAAGATTTTGATAAAAAACTAAAAATCAGCATTTTCACTTCGAAGTGTGCAAACTGCAAATTGTGCAGTCTTACCAATTAATTGTAGCAACCATAGGATTGGTTGCATTAGTCCCCGGGCATTAGTCTCAGGAGTCTGGTTGCAGTTTACCCAGCCACGGACCAGGACGGACCAGCCATGGACACAGACGGACCTTTTCACTTCATTGATAAGCTAAACACTGGTCCTACAGTGCCGATATATAATAATAAAGGGTGCGTTTTCAAACTAAACAGAGTGCTCCTACCAAAATGAATTTTCCTACATACCCCTGAAACTCTTATCTGATAGATACAATGCACAAATAAAACAAAAGTTTTGCTATTATAGGCATGGGCTTTCAACTTTCAACTAGTTGAAAGCCCATGTTATAGGTAAAAAGTTCTCTTGAAATTCTGAAGTGATTTTACCTGTTAATTCTGTCCATGGTCCGCCATTTTAGCGGAAGTTACACTGAAATGCAAACTCCATGAAACGAAACGAAATCACTAGAAAAAACATGGCACACATTGTGCGCATGTGCAGCAAAGTTTAGACCAATCAGATTATTTGATTATTTTGCGCACATGAATTATTTGGTTCTGAGCACTTACAAGCTTACCACAATAAACAAACCTGGCAGAGACTACCCTTAGCCTACTTCATTTTGGCGAAATTTCAGCTCAAACTCGTGACAAATGCATTATACATACGCTGGTGTGAAGCCTTGGAGACACTCATTTTGGTAAATATGATTTATGGGGTATACTTTTCTGCAGTTTGTGGGAGTTTGGGACATTAAATGTTAAAATTCAAGAAAATATGCCAATTAAACGACTGATCAATTAATATATACCAGCACTGTATGTCATCTGATACCTTCCAAAAATACCCAAAACAACAGACATCGTGTAATACCCGAGTTACAACAGTTGGGCCTTGCACTTTATAATGTGACAGCACTTTCAATCTGAATGTCCAGAATGGCTGCTGTATGGTTAGTGCAACGTCGTTAAACTCAATAATGGCGTTCTTTATTATTAGGAATTTTCTTGGGGCCATTATTGAGTTTAACCTCCTTACTATTCTTTCCTTTGATGCAAGTTCTGAATCCATCGAAACCATTTTTCCGCGATAACGTGCAACTGATACTTGACAATAATATAAAAACACATAACATCAAGCGATTTAACACAATATTATTGTGTTAAATGTTCATTTATACGAGTAAAATGAGGCTACACTTACCAATCTCTAAAGTGACATTTCCGCATGTCCGTCATTGTGTCTGTTCGTCTGAGTGTCCCGGATCGTAAAATTAAACTACCAGCGAAACGAAATTGTTGTCAAATAGATTGATAATTATTATCGCGATTACTCGGGATAAAAAGATCAATTTTGAGGATAACAGGTATCTTTGATTAATTTATATAGCGCGTATATACACGCAAAATAGTTATTAATTGCAAACCAACTGTTCGTTAATGCAGTGCCGTGATGACGGTTAATTCCTGAAACGATTTGCAATTTCGATGTTACCGAAACTGACCGACATTTTCGTCATATTTCAAACCTGTCTCCAATATTTTCGTAATTATGCATCAATAGGGTCTAAGGGGGATACGGGACAGGGTGTATGTGTTTATAAGGTATGTATGCATGCTTGAATCACATTCTTTGTGTAATATTGCCATGTTTTCAGGGTTCAATTAGTTCCGCTTGTCGAAACCTGCTGAACGATTAAATTAACGCATCAAAGGCAAAATGGTCATGGAGGTTAGACCTAGCCGGGCCATAACACATGTCAGATAAGAAACGAGGCCCGGGCTAGGTCTAATGTTGTTGGACTACTGTATGGTTAGATCTGCGACATGGGAGAAAAGTCAACCCCTCCCTACCTCTAGACTATATCCTCTAGTCTGAAATTTTTTGAAATTTGGAATGAAAATATTCAGACTTTAGCCCACATATGTAGAAAGTGCCATTCAAAATGGCCGATGGAGTAAATTAATTTGCATATTTGTTACTTTCCCTAGCTTTATTTCCATTTGTGAATACGCTGTGTTACTTTTTATAGCATTTAATTGTACCTTACTACTTAATTGAATTGTTATAATGTTTATTTTTGGGAAGTGAAGCTTCCTAAAATTGATAATTTTGTGCTTGAAATTTCTTGTTTTTTCCCACAGGAGGGACATAATGATCAATAGACTGAATTCTCAGGATATTCAGTCTATTGGATATAGACTATACCTACTTCAGTGAATTCCTGAGTAGTTTTGAATTCTGTCGATGAATCCCCAATTGTATGGGTTAAGTGAGGAAATTTTTGTTTTTAATCAAGAAAGATTGCACTTCTTTTCAAGATGGCAGTAGGATATTCAGGATATTCAGTCTATTGGATATAGACTATACCTACTTCAGTGAATTCCTGAGTAGTTTATAATTCTTTTTATGTCGATGAATTCCCAATTGTATGGGTTAAATGAGGAAATTTTTGTTTTTAATCAAGAAAGATTGCACTTCTTTTCAAGATGACAGTAGGTTTTAGAAGGAATCCCCAAAATAACATCCTGGTCTGGTGCTGCAGAAGCTGGATATAGATGGAGGAATTTTGAAGGTTGAAATAACTTGTTATCAAAAACGAAATTTTCCTCATTCTGTGGATTAACCCATACGATTTTGTTACAAAGAATTCTTAGATACTCAGGAATTTATTGAGGTAGGTCATTTGAGTGTGTCAGGCTGTAGTGGCTTTAACCTTTATACGGCTCAGTTGGTAGAGCATCAGTCTTTAGATCCAAGGGTCCTAGTTTTGATTATCACATGGTGCATTGAATAACGCAGATGCGTTCGGGTCAGGTAGCATGGCGGATATAGTAGAAAGTTCCCTTTAACTTAAATTACATCTGTTTTAGTGGTTCAAATTTCATATAACCCTTATGTATCTAATAGCGAATTAAAATATGTCCAGTGAAAAGAAAGTGTTATCTGTCAAATACAAGAAAAGATATTTCACTTTTTGTGATTTTGTAACATGGGGTCTATGGGGAATCAACCAGAACTAGAAGTCACATTTTCAAAAAAATTGAATTTTCAATGTGCATGTAGATTTCAAATATGAAATCACTTTTGACTGAATTTTGAATATTTGATGACATAAATCAAGATTATTTCTACTCCCAGGACCCATCTAGTCTATTTAGCACACTTTCTTTCAATTTCTTTATCTGGCTTGTTACAGTATGCTTGTAAGTAAGTCATTCCCCTTGGGCATCCCTGGGTCATTACATATAAATTACAATAGACTATGATTCCTTTACAGTGAAAGAAATATGGCATGGACGACAGGATTCTCTGACTTTGGAAATGACTGGCAAGAAGATGTGATCGCCCCAAAGATACAGTCTCATAAACATCCTCGTACTCATCAACAGAACAATGGAGGCCCAAGTACTAGTAATGCCCCAAGCTCTGGAGGGAAGGCAGCAATTAGTGACTTGTCACCAGGAGTAGGAAATACCGTAAGTATCCAAAGTATTTTTCTCTTTTGAAGATAAATTTTTTATTAAGGTATAACTACATTATAAGAACTTTTATATAATTTAAAAGTATATGATTAAAATTACAAATTATTAGGTAATACAGTATGTTTGTTTTTAAACCATTCCAAGGCATTCTGAGTCGAAATAACAAAAAATGAAATGTTGAAAGTCGGATAGTAAACTGAAATGGCTTTGAACCCCATCCCCCTAACTAGATTCATTTAGTTTCCAATTCGACGTCAAACTTTTGATGCCTACTCTTAGCTACTTGTAAAATAAAAAATGAAATGTTTAAGGGTCATCATCCTTAAAGTAAATGAAATGTTTGATTTCAGAGGATAGTTGGGGTGATATTGGCCAAGGAAGAAGCTAAATCTTTCACAAGCAAGAAAAGTATGAACAATTTTTTCTACTTATATATACATCAATTCAGTTTCTATGAGTCAACATGGTGGTGACCAGAGATTTAATACAGAAAACTAAATTTTAAGTCCATGTTTCATCATCAAAATACTGTAACACTGGCAGATGTGAGAGGTGACACTTAGTAATTTGATCTCAAAAATGTTGTTTATTTTGGACTTCAAATTAGGCTTTTTTAAAAGCTAGGCACAAAGGAAGGTATTTTCAAAAAATATTTTTTGGACTCCTCATTTTCAATATATATATCTGTCCATGTACATCCAATGGTGCTCATTCAATCCATTTTACATGTAATTGTCTACAAACAAATAATATGCTTCTGTAGATCCAGGCACTGAGAGGTTCCTGTTGAACTTTTCAATACGAGACAGTCCTGCACAATTCATTAATGCTACATGTTGGGGTGGCAAAGAACATATCCACGATCTCGCTGCAATGTTCCATATTGGAGACATAGGTAGGTTTTTGGCTGGTCTTTATCAGTATTCAGATATAAATAATAAGATTATGAGAATGTTATATAGAAATTAATCTTTTTTTCGTTCATTTATTATTTTGTATGTTAAAGCAATGAATCACTGCTAATGACTTCCAGTTGCCTGAGTGGGTCATTAGGTGTTGTGTTGCTAGATATATTCATGTCTCTTGATAAACCCCCTGCAATGTCAGTCATCCAGTTTTCCTGTTCCAGTTGAGGTGATCAATGCCCAGATACAGACTAAACGAGGAGATAACATGGATGATAAATTCAGACCGTGGACTCCAAGGTAAAGTTTTAAAAATGGCCATAATTTTATAGGCTCATATTTTTAATCTCATCATGCTTTTTTCTCTTACTCTCAGATGCTTTTTTACAACATTTCTGACTTTGTTTCAGAAAAATTCTTTGATTGTTAACATTACCTGTTTTCAATTCTAATGAATTTGGCATAGGCTAAGGTAAATAGAAATAATTTTAAAATAAAGATGGCATGGCAATCGATCTGTGTTTATCTATGTTTCTCTTTCTGGTGCTGCCATCTTTATAGGCCCAGAACCTATGGAATTTGGACACTCATCCATCTTAAATATTAAACTTCAATATTTGATCATAGTCATTCAATAGATTGAAAGCCCATGATTTGATCAAATATCTCAATTCTTTTTTTCATAAGTATAAAATTAGGATTTTCCTGAATCACAAATGTACCAAGTTTTCTTCTTGTAGTCCATATGTATTGAACATAAGTGAACAGCACTCCACAGTGAAACTCTACGGAGATTGGGATCTCAGCGAGTATAACACACTGTTACATATCCCTATCAAGCCTCATAATGATTTCTACACACTCTTAGATGTTGTCACTAACGGACAGAATTTAAATGGAGAGTTGATCAACCTGCTAGTAGCTATTAAATCAGTAAGTCTAATATTTCCAACACTGGGAAAAGGTTTGGGACTGCAGGCCCGTAGCCAGGATTTGCCAAAGGGGGTTCAGCTTCCAAACAAAAATTTTCAGGAGGGGTTCACATATGACAATTTTGGCCCAAATATGGCTAAAATCACTTGAGAAGTGCTCAAAATGGTGAAAATCTGCATGATTTTGAAAGAACTTTTGGCCAGGGGGGGGGTTTGCCCGAACCTTGCGAACCCTCCTGGCTACAGACCTGCACTGAATTATCTAGAAAGCTTTGACGTTTAGTGTGTTCATGGGTTAGAGTGGGACAGAAAGTAAATATGTGTAACACGCTTTTATGAATATTCTCAGTGAGAACCAATAAGAAAACCATGAACCACTGAACGTCGAAACAAAGGTAGTATAGTATAACATCTAACAACCTTACACACTGATATATTTTTGATACGACAGTTCATGTACAGATTCAGTATTTTCATGAATAGGTTATATATACCAAATATAAAGCCAGCATGCTATTTTAGGCATACATGTTTCCTCAGATCTAATATTTTGTGCAATTTACCTGTAGATTGGAGCTGTTAAAGAGATTGTAACAAAGTCAGGCAGACATACCAAGCGTTGTGAGATCAAGTTGTTTGATGACACTAACACTACCCTAGCTTTAGTACTGTAAGTATAGTAAGACTTCTTATTTCTCACTTTGTATGAGCATAAATTGAAGGTTGAGTTACACACAGTTTTTAAGAGAAATATTGAAACATAAAGTATTATTGTCTTCTCGGAAGTAGTTCTGCATGGCTGCATTTATGTCCATCTATGTGATACATTGTATGTACACACTAGTTACAATGTAATATACATTGTACAGGGTGTTTCATAATGACTGTCCCCCCATCCACAGCCAATCCTAGACCACATGGCCCCATAATCTATATACGATAATAAATGTTATTCAATTCTGGACTTATGTGCCAAATTTTAGCATGACTGGTCAATGAGAACATAATTTGTAAACTTGTGTTTGATAATCACTATAGCCTCAGTTTGTGTGATTTGTGGCTCCCATTTCAAATGGATTTAAAGAGAGGAGCATATTGCTATATAATCCATTGAATCACCAAGAGCTCTCTGGGTATTTCTTTGAAATATTTAATACTTTTGTCTCTCAAATATTATTGGGATATATCCTCAGCATCCATCAAATGTTATAAGGTGTACATTACTATAGATAATAGTGTATTGAGGCATGGTTATCATAGCTGTTTGCATGGCACATGGCTAATTTTGGAAAAAAGTAGCTGTCGGATTCTATGCTTAAGGTAAAATGGGTTCCTTTTGTAGAGGTATCTAGCAAGTTGTAAAGACTGTTGAGCTTATCCAAAGTTGTTTTAATTAGTCCAGAATTGAACAAGCTTTCATATGATATATAACATATGCTGGTATGCTATTTGGGATTGTTGGTTGATGGGGGGACGGTCATTATGAAACACCCTGTATATATTGTATATTTTTTTTTATTTTACATAAAAGGTGGGATGAAGAAAATATAAATCTGACCGTGCAATGGACTCCAAAAGATACAGGTTCAAAAAATTGCTGGAAGTGAAGCTAGCTGGATTTCTTCATTTATTGTTTATTGTCTAATTATCATGGATGTTTTCTACAGTAAAATACATATCAAATGAATTTTACAAATCACCACTCCAGTCTCAATTTTATGAAACCAAAGTCAACATCTTTCTGCTAGATTCACAATGCAATAAACAAAAATGAGGAAAACTGGTTATGTTTAGAACAAAATTCAACTTCGGTTGTGAAAAGGAAAATTTTATTTTGTTGTTATTTTTTGTTAACATAAGTATCACAGGGTGGTCAAAAATGGCAACCCTGTATTTTACTCATATCTTTGTCATTTTAAGGAATTATACCCTATTATTTGGCACATTTGAATGTACATTATTCAATTTCCTACCATCCTCCTATATTTCATGACCATCAGACTGATAGTCGCAATTTTACAGCATTTTGAACAACATGCCCCAGGTGTGGCTATCATCACTCTGTAGGCAAACCTTAAGTTGTCAATGACCCGACTGCATTCCTCAGCAGGTAGACATGAAAGACATGAATGATCTCCCTTTTGTGGTCTGCAATTGTATTGAGGCCATTCTTGTACACTCTATTTTTGGCATATCCCCATAGGTAGAAGTCAAGTACGGAATTTTGGTGGACGTGTGCAGGTTTGCCTACAGCGCAATAGTGGTCACTAGAGCATGTTGTTTAACAGTGCAAGTTGTTTTAGTGCTGTAAGTTAACATTATGACTAGATCAGTCTGATGGTCACAAAATATGATGTACATATGTGCAAAATATCAGGGAGTAATTTCCTAAAATGACAAAGATTTGAGAAAATAGCTACAGGGTCACCATTTTTAACCACCCTGTATGATATTTCAAATGTTGCCTCTGTTTGATGGAGCTCTTAATACTTGTGGTAACATGTATTATTTTCAGCTGTCTATTTACGTGCTTGATATTTAAATTGCATACATTGCTCTTACTTAATGCTTTAAGATTTCTTCATTTTACTACCGTTCATTGTTGATTTGCAAATACATTCAGGGCTGTTCACTGCTGGTATTAATATGATTACAATGCATTTAATTGCTGATGCACAAATATTGTATCAGTGTTTTTATTGCTGATGCACAAATACATATCAATGCTGTGTACTGCTGATGTACAAATATACTAAATCTAGCATATCAACTACTGATTTACACACATATTTCAGTGCTGTTTACTACTGATTTACACATGTATTTTAGTGCTATTTATTATTGATTTACACATATATTTCAGTGCTGTTCATTACTGATTTACACATATATTTCAATGCTGTTCATTACTGATTCACACATATATTTCAGTGCTGTTCATTACAGATTTACACATATATTTCAGAGTTGTTTATTATTGATTTACACATACATTTCATTGCTGTTTGTTACTGATTTACACATATATTTCAGTGCTGCTTATGACTGATTTACACACATATTTCAGTGCTGTTTACTACTGATTTACACATATATTTCAATGCTGTTCATTACTGATTCACACATATATTTCAGTGCTGTTCATTACAGATTTACACATATATTTCAGAGTTGTTTATTATTGATTTACACATACATTTCAGTGCTGTTTGTTACTGATTTACACATATATTTCAGTGCTGCTTATGACTGATTTACACATATATTTCAGTGCTGTACATCACTGATTTACACATATATTTCATTGCTGCTTATTACTGATTTACACATATATTTCAGTGCTGTTTTTACTGATTTTGAGTTCTGTTTATTACTCAGTGCTGTTCATCACTGATTTATACATATATTTCAGTGCTGTTTATCACTAATTACACATATATTTCAGTACTGTTCATCACTGATTACACATATTTTTCAGAACTGTTCATCACTGATTTACAAATATTTCAGTACTGTTTATTATTGATTTACACATATATTTCAGTGCTGTTCATTACTGATTTACACATATTTCAGTGATGTTTATTACTGATTTACACATATATTTCAGTGCTGTTCATTACTGATTTACACATATATTTCAGTGCTGTTCATTACTGATTTACACATATATTTCAGTGCTGTTAATTACTGATTTACACATGTATTTCAATGCTGCTTATTACTGATATACACATATATTTCAGTACTGTTTATTACTGATTTAAACATATATTTCAGTGATGTTCATTACTGATTTACACATGTATTTCAGTGCTGTTTATTATTGATTCACACATATATTTCAGTGCTGTTCATTACTGATTTACACATATATTTCAGTGCTGTTTATTATTGATTTACACATATTTCGGTGCTGTTTATTACTGATTTACACATGTTTTCAGTGCTGTTTATTACTGATTTACACATATATTTCAGTGCTGTTCATTACTGATTTACATATATATTTCAGTCCTGCTTATTACTGATTTACACATATATTTCAGTGCTGTTTATTATTGATTCACACATATATTTCAGTGCTGTTCATTACTGATTTACACATATTTTTCAGTGCTGTTTATTATTGATTTACACATATTTCAGTGCTGTTTATTACTGATTACAAATGTATTTTAGTGCTGTTCATTACTGATTTACACATATATTTCAGTGCTGTTCATTACTGATGTACACATATATTTCAGTGCTGTTGATGTACACATATTTTTCAGTCCTGTTTATTGCTGATGTTCGAGTGAATTATGATGACTTTAGAAAGGGAATGTTAGCATCTGCAAACTCTAAGACAATCTTCACCATAAATCCAGGTAATCATTTTATAATAATCAATTGTTTGACCATTTCAAAATGGCTGCCCTAATCATGTGCTATATTTTTTGTTTAACTTCGCTGTAACAGTACTTCCGCAGGCCTAAGCCACACTAATTTCATCACCAAACTATGCCCTCTGTAATAATGTTTATATTAAGGCATAGATAAGAGTGGATTAGGCCTGCGGAAGCAGTGCACTGTTTGAATATATAGGCCACCTCAAAACATTAAGTAAGTAAAAAACATACACAGCATGGTATGAAAAAATAGGTCACCTTTAATTGCATCCAATCAATATAAGATTAGAGTGCCTCCAAAGTATAAGGCATACATATATCTTGAAACTGTTACAATATTGAATGTGAATATATTCATAAACCTCGGAAAAATGATTATTAAGAGAAAAATACACAATTTTGGCAAAGAAATGGGTCACTCTTGGAATCGCCTGAAAACATCTCCTTGGTTTGATTTAATTTCAAAATTAGTATGGAGTCAGTGAGATAACAATATAACCTTTATTTTTTATAAGAATTTAACACATATTCATACTTTGAATTTACATCTTATTTATAGTGACACTTGGGGTGACAGATCCTTTCTCAATATCATTTATTTATTGAACCCCCTTATTTCCCCTATATGGTTTTTATAATTAAAAATTTGACTCTTAAAATTAAAACTTAAAATAAAGACTCTGAGAATGAGTAATAAACAGCCTCAACCATTATATCATCTTCCTTCACTCAGCTCCCTTCTGTCAGTCTGAAAGCCAAGCTTGCACAGATGTTATCAATCTGCTATACAACATCCCAAAACCTAAGATTTAATTAAGCTACTGTACCCTACCCTAACTATACCATACAATATATCCATATAGACACACAAGAGGCTCACACATTGTCTATCAGTTTACAAATATCCCAAAACCTAAAATTTAAAATAATTATACCATACAATATATCCTTTGTAGACACCCAGGAGGCACATAGTCTTTACCAGTTTACAAATATCCCAAAACCTAAGATTTAATTTAATTACCCTAACCATACCTTACAATATATTCTTGTAGACACCCAGGAGGCACATAGTCTTTACCAGTTTGCCCAGACTGCTGAGTTCAGTGAGGAAACATCAGGAAATTATGAGAGCACCACCATTGATTGTAAGTACATTTTACATTGAATATACCAAGCAATGTTCTCCACAGGATTTTTTCTCAAGTGGGTGCAGGTGAAAAATTCTCATATCACAGTTCAGACCAAAGGTCAAATTATGATTATTTTTTATGATTTGCCTCATTTTCAAGTTGGTGGAAATGGATTTCCTAGTGGATGCAAACTGGTTAACCAAATCTCAGCTGGATGCTGAGCCCACTTGCTTGAATGCTGGGGAGGTCACTGCCAAGTATCACAACATGCTCAAGTTACAAACACTGTAACAAGGAAATCATCATAAAATGATTCAGTTATATTTTATTGTGTTTCATATTCATAACCAAACAGTTCAAAATCATATTTGTACATATCATAGATTTTCTTGATCATATCACTAGGCACTTGTTTTAACATGTTTCTCCTAAGTTCTGCTTTGCTAATTCTATATCCATTTGATGTTTGATAAAGTTTTAGGAAAAGTGCATACAATCTTTCTCTGGTGTAGAATCTTGGATCTGGATTCAGTGCTGGTAGCATTGTCCCTCGACTTATGTAGCCCCTAGCAACAAGGCCTTGAAAGACCCTGACTATTAAATCCTGCATACTGTATTGACACACAGTTTTCTTTTTAAGCTTTATGTAACCCCTCAGTAGAATGTCAACTTCTCGTGTTACGACATCACTTTCATGTTCATCATGTTGTAGGCTAGTTGCACCTATTTTCTTTAAGAAAAAATCTGTGTCTTCATTGAAAGTTTCTAAATGTGCTATGACATCGTATTTTATATCCTTGCATGGGTTACAATATTTGTATTGGGGGCGCCAATGTCGGTTGAGTACTTTGTCTTCAGTATCCTCTTGTATGATAAATCCCAAAAATTCTTTAAATGATATGTCACATATGCATTCAGGAATTGATGTATCTTTGTTAGTTGACATGTCACCAATCCCAGTGAATGTTGATGTGTTATCTGTTGACACTTTTTTATTACTTCTATAAAGATTGAATATAGTACCTACTATGCTCTGCTTGCACCAAAATGTTGGATTGATGCTGTACATTTTGTCCCAATATGCAGATATTAGCCGACTAATTGGATCTCGCACAATTAAAATTCTAGTATAATTCTCTATTTTGTTCAATATTTTTACATCTATGTCATCTTTTTTGACAGCATAATCTCGCACATTACCACCTAGTCTTATTGCCATCATTTTGTAAGGATTGGATATGTTGTTTTCGAGGCTATATAGAATTCTTTTGAAAGTGCTACTGCCTACCTTTGGGATGTCACAATATACAAAAGGGAAATGTTTTCCAACCATTATGGACCCACCATGCATATTTTGCTTTGAAATATTTGGGTGTTTGGCACACACTTTCTCCAAATGGTCACGTCTTTCTTTGAGGACTTTCTTTGTTGACAACTCAGCTAAATTGAATTTTGGCATTTCTGTTGGTATATTCCTGTCCTTAATATTGTACAGTGGGTTCAATTCAAAGATTTCTGAAATTAAAATGGAAATTGACTGTCTAATGACTATACTCATCCAAAATGCTTGTTATACACGCCTAACCATCGACAATGTACAGTGACAAAATATATCATCGTATACTTAAGATGTACTGTGTCAGTATTAACTGATTTGAAGCCAAAAGTATGTTGAGGTTTAATGTAGGTTTTAAAAAATTAATCTGAGGAATACATAAAGGATTTCAAGTTTGATTTTGTATGTATATTCGCTTGGAAAGACTTTTGGCTAAAAGATGTTAAAAGATTTTCGAACAGTCTTTGATTTTTTAAAATTAAATCTACCCATAAAAATTGATCGGTTGGATGTAACTTAGTATTGACAAAGTTATGGTTATGGGCATACATGATGAATTATTCTTATACATTAGATATACATTTTTGATGAATAAAATTGTTGATGTGATGTTTGAAGTTTGTTTTTAATTATAATAGATAGCTTTGACATCACAATATGTATAGTGCATCCGAGAGGAATACCCCACCAGAATTTTATTTATGCTAAGGTTGCCTACTTTGAGCACCTCAGGAAGTCAGCCCCATAGTCTAGGGGGTTCACATTTCACAACTTTGGTCCGAAATCACTTGAAAAGTGCACTCTATACATCCATAAGTGTGATATTCTTATGCATAGATGATGAATATCACACTTATGAATGCATAGAGCTGCGCAATTAATGATGACATAATCAAACACTTCATAACTTATACATTATATGGGATTCGAACATAACTGTATTCCCACCTTCTATAAACTGTGAACAAAATCAAAATTTCACCCAGGGTATATATACGGCAACACTACGCCTGGTAATAGGAGTAATGTGTGACATCGTAACGGGCTGTAGTAATGGCGGACCAGTAAATGAATATTCAAAAATTTTGGTTAGTTTTCATGTTCGAATTGTAATATAGATCTCAGAGCAGGTGTAATATCGACGAATACACCCCTTAGGGCTAAGCAGAAAAGCTTTCGAACCCCTCACTCCCTATGGTTGTTTAAATAAACATGCTATACGTGACTTTCTAAATCTCTCTGTTAGTTTCCAAAAGATCCACAATTGGTGAAGATATTTAAGATTCAAAGTGTGAAAATGGGAGGAATGTATATATTCTCCGAAGTACATGTAATAAATGTGGTAACCTACATTTATAGAAGAAAATGATACATTATTGTAAAATTTATCACAGACTTTTCAATGTTCTAATACATGTACATATAATTTCAAATTTTTGTTTGGTTAATTTCAGATTTACAATATGTTGTTATTTTAATTAGGAAGACCAGTTTTGTGCTGATAAAGCTTCCAAAGATAATTATAGTTTTCAAATCAAATCAAATTATGTATTTTATATGCATACTTACTAACAATTACTAGTAGTATGGTTCCTGTGCAGAGGCACACTGCCAATGGTCTCTTTAATTTTCTTTTACACATTTTCAATTTGTGTCTAAGTCTTGACAAACCCATCTGATGTCACTCTCATATACCTGACCCCTAGAAATGCATAAGATACTCTGTTTGAATTGTTTAATATACAGTATTTTTGAAGGTACTTAGTATAGTAGAGTGGATGTATTTCCAATATATTTACATTTCTGGTATTACCCCACTGAGCAGAGTTTCGAAAGGAATATAGGGAAGTTGTCTGTCCTTTCGTTCGTTTGTGTGTTATTACTGTAACTGATTTTAACCAGTAGTCCGATATAAGAAAGGCTTTTTACGAATTTAGTTCTTTTCAAAAACATGCCTTTTATTCAAAATGACAATTGAATGTCTCTTTGGTCTTAGTCAAGATATTGATAATGCTTCATTTGTTTCTACTTAACCCTTAAATTGGACTTAATCAAGTGGGATTTCCAAAATATACTCACAAATTCAAAATCATTGCCATTTCTTGTGAAATAACCTGCTACTTTAAAGGAATAAGTGATTCCTTCAGGGTTTTTTAAGATACCCATTACGGGTGACCAAACTTAGCTGAAAGCAATGATTTTTCCTATGGGAAAATAACATGGGAAATATTGTTTTCCACTTTATCTAAAAGGAATAATTTATTCCTTTTAAGGGATTAACTGTGTGTCAAAACGCAACATATTGATGCAAGAAAAATTAAAAAAGCAGGGATGGAAAGGGTTGAAAATCAGGACAACATTTCAGAAAAAACATGTGGGTGGGTTGTTTGCATCTACCCTGTCTCAAAGTCGAAATTATTTTATCATCTCTAGAAGTGATTTTCCTGGAGGTAATGCATTCGCCTAACATATGCACCTGTTTGAATCCCCAGGAAATGGCCAAAATCAAATATATGACTGTCCAAAATCTGTACAGCCAATTTCTCTCCTCCTTTATGCAAATCTTTAGGTTTGATCAAGATTTGCTAAGGCAGTACTTCTTCCTGGCTATTTCTATTATGGTTAAATGTATAGCTACTTGATATTATATGATTTTTCTGGTGGGATTTGCTTCTTCATGGAGTTGCTGTTTTTCTAGTCATAGCATGTTAAATTAATGCAATACATCTAATGTGCATTCACCAGAGTCCAGCTATTCAGAAGAGCTTTTAGCTTAGTAGCGTAATAAACTTACCAGTTAAATCCTATTAACTTTTTGCTGTTGTTCAAAGCAAATTTGAATTACTTTTAAGATTTTTCGCAATTTCATTATTATATAAACATTATATGTAATTCATTCCATATGTAATACTGGTATAATGTGCTCTGTTTCAATTGCCTAAGGGAGTCTTCTGTTTACACAAATGGGGGTTTAGTGCAAAGTAGGCACTCCCCAATGTGTTTTAGTTTAAATTGATCAATCTCCTGTTGGATATATTGGTACATATGTCACATGACACACCACAATACATTCTATTCATTTTAAAATCCCAACCGGGAAAGACACATTGATAGGGAGGAAGGGTGTATTCCTCCCTGTATTACACACTTACACACACAAGTACAACTCAGGCCCATCTGGAGGAGGCTACACCAGAATTCATCAAGAAGGGTGAATGGCCTCCCCAAAGCCCTGATTTTAACCCGATGGATTATGCCATATGGGACTCACTGTAAGAGAAAGTTTATCAGGGAATGAGGGACAAATTGACCAAAGAGGAGTTAAAGGACAGAATAATTATGTTGTCTGAGGAAATATCTTTAGAAGAAATACACAATTGCATATCTAGTTGGAAAAAGCGGCTTCGTTTAGTTACAGAGGAAGATGGAGGGCATTGAACATAAACTGAAATAGGATGTACATGCTTTTTCTAACATGACAATATTCCCATAAATTGCAACTGATCCCTTAGGCCATAAGAAGTAGATTCTTTGTTTTGCGTCCCCTTGCTTGCAGGATTTTGAGTAAATCAGAAAAAACAAATACATCCAAATTGCAATAACAAGGGTCTGAAAGTACCATGATCGCATTTCGTTCAATCAGAATCATTTGAAATGACGGATAATTTGACATGCGTCAAAATTGACGGTGTTATTGATAACTTTGGCATATATTGTGTATTTTCTTATTTTTTACCCTTGAATAATAGCCATGTTTAAATATATGGTGTAAAATGTACATTTGTTATCACTGCAAATTGGTATGTCATCCCTTTTTATGCCCATAAAATGTATACAATTCTCAGCAAACAAGTTTGTGTTTAACTGGCTCATTTTTTGGGATACCCGATATATACACACACGCGGTACTAACTCACCGAAACCAGAACGCCCCGCAAAACCGTTAATTTGAATTTCAAACCTACCCTTTCTTTGGAAAATCAATGATAGTGAGTCTCACAGTACACCGTTTTTCTTCAAACTTGTTCTATTAATACCTTCATAGAAATACCTTTCACTTGAGACATTGCTTTTGTTTACAGAGTCACTCGTTTAGCAGCGTTTTGGTCCCCAGATGTGAGAAGATGCAAATCTTCAGAGATTTCAACCAAAAGCCTCGATATATCGCCAGTTCTTTTATTATTCTCCCCTATATTTTGCACAAGGACTCCCATTACAACCCTCCATCTCTGCATCAACATATTTATTACATTAAACGCAGCAATTTCCAAAAGTCCTACGCATGTGTTCGAAATTGATCAAAACGCCCTGTTCTCTTCCAAAATGCCCCGTTGGATCAGCATGTACACATTTGTAGTCAAAGAATCTGCGGGGCATTTTGGAAGACAACGGGGCATTTTGGTGAATTTCGAACAGTTCCGTAGGACTTTCCAAATTTCATGTAATAAATATGTTGATGCAGCGATGGAGGGTTGTTATGGGAGTCCTTGCCCAGAATATGGAGGAGAGTGATAGAAGAAGTGGCGAGATATCAAGGATTGTGGTTGAAAATTCTGAGGATTTGCAACTTCTCACATCTGGGGACCAAAACGCCGCTAAAACAAGGGACTTTGTGAAAAAAGCAATGTCTCGACTGAAAGGTATATCTGAGAAGGTTTCAATAGAACAAGTTTGAAGAAAAACGGTGTAGTGTGAGACTCACAATCATTGATTTTCCAAAGACAGGGTAGATTTGAAATTCAAATTAACGGTTTTGCGGGGCGTTTTGATTTCGATACTCCCCGGTGAGTTAGTACCGCGTGACACAGGATGCATTCTAATTACTAAGATGCGAGTAGGTAGTTACCAGTTTCGCCACCAGGTGGCTGATTCGGGGGAATTAACATGGCAGGGTATTACAAAATTCCCTTAAACTTGAATATGCATCAGTTTTAGTGGTTCACTTTTCATATTACCCTTATGTATCTGATAGTTATACAAATTAAAATATGTCCAGTAAAACAAAATATTATCTGCCCAACACAAGAAAAAATATTTCACTTTTTGTGGTTTTACAACATGGGGTCTATGGGGAATCTCCCCAACCTAGAAGTCACATTTTCAAAGAAAATTAAATTTTCAAAATTGATTAACTCTTTTCAAAACCACATTTCTAAATGTAATTTTACATGTAGATTCCATATATGACATCAGTTTGACTTGCATCTGGGATATTATTAAAAGTGTTCAATTCAGCAGGTGGATTCCAATTTGTAAACTGCAACCTGTGTAAGGGTAATTTATCTTATAAAAGGTAAATGACATTTTATATAGTCCAACTCAGTAGACTGTAAATCTAGTAAATCTTATAAAATCTTTTAATATCTTGTAAAGTTTTGACTATTCATTTGATATCAATGTCAGTCTCTATGAAGAGTATTGGGATCTATTTCGTTTTAGAGCAATGCATTATTATCCCAATCAAAGAAGTTCAAGTTGTATTTTGTATTTCCTGTGTTATATTTTTAATATTTACTATGCCGATAATGTTATTAAGTTAACAAAGGCATACTTTTGTATTTGTATCAATATCAAGGAAATTGAAATAAATAAACTAAAAAAAAAAAAAAAAAGTTCAAGAGGGTATAGTGAAGCCCTCCGTCTGTCAGTCTGTCCATCCATCCATTGGAAAGAAACACAGAATAAACAAGAGATCATTTTAAAAAAATGAAGGCTCGTGTGAAGGAGATGTTTGCAGTGTTGTAATGAATTGTATTGATAAATAGGGATGCTTACTTTTAACGCGGTTGTAATTTACCTAACGGCAGAAGTAGAAAAAATCCGAACATTTTGAACTGATTAAGATCTTTAAATTGTGAAGGTCTGAGTACCTAGACCTCTTAGAAAACATCCAAACATATCAAAAAGTGAAGATGGAATTTGATTCTCGTTCTCCGAAGATAAATAAAATAGTTAAATGTTTTGAGTTTTTTAATGCTGTAAATTATTCACAATTCTAAATCATTTCGTATTTTTTGTCGTATTTAGGAAATCATGTTGCCGAAAATCAGTGCCCAGTGTTCATGGTGTTGTTGTAAAATTGCGTATATGTTGTTTGAAACCCTCTCTAACGCAATTTTATTATAACACCTTAGGGTTAAACTTTTGCTTGAGGAATTAACTCATTTTCATCAATAAATATTAATCCATCAGGTTTTCTACCAGTAAACTAACGTTTAAACCTCAGTCCATTGTCGTTATCACTTACTACTAAACCCAAGTGAGATATGTCTCTTGCCTCAGCACGAGCCAATAATCTCACCAAAGCGTAGATAAAGTGAGAATCATAATGACTTATTGCATTTCAAGAAGTGAGGTCATTTCCAATTAACTTATAAAGGATGCACATAGATTGCAAAGATGAGTAACCAAACGGTGTCACCAGATACCTGCTGTAAAAAGGCATTCTCTGCATTAAAATTCATTTATATTCATATTTTTTTTATTTTATTTTTTTTATTTATTCATTCCTTTCATCAAATAATTAATAGTCAAAATTTTATTACTAAATTTGTGAAATGTAATAACAAAAAATAATGTTTAAGGATCTGATATAATATGGCTTTAAATTATTTTAAAATTACAGTTAAGTATAATATTAAA